GAGAAGGCTGAAGCACGATTGGCAGGACTTTCTCCTTTCTCTGCCTAACATCAGCCTATGTTTGAACCTTATTTGAATTCTTTGTTTTGTCTTAGTTTTCATTCTGGGTGATAGCCATATTGCCTGCCTTTGCATCTACTCACCAACGACACAGTATCCTTCGATGAATGCTTGCTTCTTGCCTATGTGCACAGCGCTGTCAGAATTATGAATTCTGTACTATGGCATTAAAAGAACAAAAGACTTATGCATAGATTGAAGTTAATAGTTAAGAGTGATAAGCAGATTTAGTGTTATGGATATTTGAAAGAGGGAGAGGGAATTTCTGGCTAGATGTTGAGAGGGAATAAGGCAAGAGTTTAGAAAAGATAGCATTTGACTAAGAAATTTTACTGGGCCTTACGGAGCCACTGAAGGCTTTTGAGTTGGGAAATAAAATTCAGTAAGACAGCAGTGAGTCGGCTGGAAAAGAGAAGTCAACTCCTACAGATAGAGAGATGTCAGGAGGCTGGTGTGAAAGGGGACAGCTGTCAGAAAAATGCACTTGGTGAACCTTGCTGTGCCAGAGTGACTAAAGAACTGGGCACTTGTAGGGAAAGAAAAGAAGCAAAGGTGTCCCAGAGTGTGTAGGGTGATGGGAGAGTGGCAGTGCCCTGAATAGAACAGTGATGGCAGGAAGAGGACATAGTTTGCAGAGGAAGATAATGAATTTTCCGGGACACACTGATCTCAAAAAGCCTAAAGCACATGAGGAGGTCAGGAAGTCAGGAGTGAGGGATGCAGCTCAGGGGAAGACACAAGCACTTGCTACCTCTGAAAGGGGCCCCCTAAGAATCAATTCCCGAAAAAAAACCCCCCCCCCATGCATAAAGTAGGTGTCCATGTGGTTAGTTACATTAGGATTTTTCTCAAAGAGAGAAGATTTGTCACAATATATAAATTCCACAAATGAGTACAGTGAGCTAATCTTGGCTTCATTTTTAAAGTCAGGGATATTGTTCTAAAGGAGCTTCTTGGATCGTTTCTGTGCAGACTCAATAATCTTTAAGTGACATGTGAAAGTTGAGGTGATGACCTCACAAGTCCAGATGTTCCTTTCATCTTTTTTAAGTTGAATTTTATCATATTGAATATTCCAATTGCTGAGATCATTAAAGTTATTTACAGTACTCAAAAACTTGGGAAACAGAAAAACATAAAAAAAAAAACAAGCAAAAATTACCCATAATCCAACCACCAGGAACACACGACTGTTGTGAGGTGTTTTTCTACTCTATGTGCAGGAGTCACACACACACACATGTACATGTGTGTATACGGGTGTACACACATGATGCATAAATATACAAAATCATTTATTAAAATTATTATATGATATATGAACACACATATTTTCTAATATGGTGGGTGGTATTTTACACTTTATTTTGTATTCAAGTTCTTTCAGTTGCCATTACTTCTGAGCATTTCCCACATCATTAAAAATGTTTTGAAAATTTTGTTTATGTGCCACATGATATTGCATTGTATAAACCTCTAATACCATTAAAGCATTCACCTGTCATCTGAAAATTTGGTGGGACATGTACTTGGAGAAGATGAACTGAGATGTATCACATTCCTCCAGAATGATGGCCTTCCCTTCTTACGAATATAGTCCCTAAGGCTGGAAGTTTTAGATGGAGTCAGGCCAGTACTTGGTGCACAAGCCCATAAGTGGTCAGGTAGTTAAGGCCTGGGAACCCAGAAGGCCTACCCACAAGCCAACTACTTCTTATATCTTCCTTTTATAAAAATTCTTAAAGATCATTTGCCTATTTCACCATTCCTCACACATTCTGACACATGTCTGGATGCCAGCATACAAACACACACACACACACACACAATCAAAACCTAAAAATAGAGAATTTCTTCAAGTCCCTAAATCGATATTTTATCTTTTTTTGTGATATTCACTTTGCCCAAGGAAAAAAAAAACAAAGTGTCTTGAAGGTAAACTGGAGGAAGTTAAGATTGCCTCCCGTTCTGTGACAGTGTAGTGAAAGGCCAGGACCGTGGCACCAGCCCCAGGAGAGAGCAGAGCCCATGCACACAAATATGCATTAGTAGAACTGGACAGAGCACCATTGTTTTGATATCTTTCTGTTTTCACAGGTGCCATGGAGTCATTTTATGAGTCTTCACCATGACCCATGCCATAGAAAGACAAATATAGCTACAGTTTTGCTGAATCCAGGTTGAAAGTTCCTTTTTCAAACAAAAACATAATTTCTAAATCAGTCCAAAGCAAAGCCCAACATCTTGAATTCAGTGAACTCTTCCATTTATTCCCTTCCTTCCTTCTGTTCAACTTGTCTCCTTCAATGTTACTGTCTCCATTTTAAACATCATCAGCTGATAAATCAATTGACAGAGTCCTGTAGCCGTTCATTTTAATATTGAAGATGACAAATTATAGCCATAAATTTTTTCAGGAGAGAAGGTAATGGTATGTACTTGTGCATTTAAAAATTGATATAGGCATGAATAAAGATACTAGGGTCAGGCAAAATAAAACTTCAAAGTCAATTTGATTTATTCCTTGATTGACTGCCTTTAGATAGCAACATCTGTCCAAGGTTCTCCTAAGAACCTTGAGAAGTTGGTGTTCTTTAAAATATAGTCTTTTTTAGAAAGAAAACTCCCTTAATTACTATATGTAGCATTATTAGAAAGCAATCACATGATTCTAACAAAAGGCAGGATTAGGCTTTCATCCAATTTCTTGTCTATCAAAGAAGGAAGAAAAGAATGGGATGTTTAACTCTAAAAACAGAAACAAAAAATTTAATGTGGTATTCATTTCATGCTTGTATTAGAGCTCCATGGGATTTTGAGCATGCCCAAAGGTGGCATCCTGTTTCATGAACATTGCTATGTAAGGGTAATAAACATACATACATGCATGCATGCGCACGTGCACGTGCTCGCAAACACACACACACACACATTTCATTGTACAAAAGAGTACATTACTGGGGCTGGGATTGGCTCAGTGGCAGAGCACTTGTCTAGCATGTGTGAAGCTCTGGGATTGATTCTCAGCACCACATATAAATAAATAAAACAAAGGCCTCTTGACAACTAAAAAATTTTTAAGAAAGAGTACATTATCAGTCATAAAAATAAATACATAAAATTTAGCCATGTCAAATAAAGTATATGAACTAGTGCTCTAGTGATTTTCTTTCTTGGGAATAGATGTCTGCTTCACAACTTTGCTTTCTATTTTCTTTCAAGTGAATTCATTTTCTCTCATGTATCTCCTTGAGTTCTAGTCTGTGCAGACTCTGTGTCCCTCTTTCTTCCCTCCTTACCTTTCATGATTTCCAGTCAGTGATAGTTTTTATCCTTCTGATCCACAGCATGCCCAGCCCATTCTTTGTACTCAAACACTTAGGTTTGCCAGCCATATGAAAAGGGCCTACTATAGCATCCAGTATCAGAGGATGGGGTCAGAATAAAAGACTTAATTTATTTAAATAGAAGTATAAACATTTATGTTGAATATCTGAAATACATATATGTATATGTGTGAATTCAATGAATCCCCCCATTCCCTTTCTTCCTTCAATTCAACTTGTCTCCTTCAACATTACTGTCTCTGTTTTAAATATCATCATCTGATAAATCAATTGTCAGAGATCTGCAGCAGTTCATTCTAATATTGAAGATGACAATAGATAGAGATAGATAGGTAGTAGGTAGGTAGACAGATAGATAGATCTCCATCATCCATCCCGGGGATACAGACAGAATGCATGAGTTACTTCAGTAGCTCACAAGAGCACCTTGCTGGCATTTTTCAATTGAGAAAGAAGCATCTCCTGTTTATGCTCTACCATGCTCTGTGTCTGTTTTGAGCTCTTTTCATCTCCTACTCTTGAGAGAGGCTTTGTTGCACTAACCCTCTTATCCAAATTCCACAAGTCACAAATTCTCCACAAGCTAGGAGACCGGGCCTCAGCCAGGACCTAGTTTTACCAACTGGAGGCTTTAATTGAACTGGATTTTTAAAATCTCTAATAATACTCGTCTCTGTGTCCATTGGATTTTTACAATATCTAATAGTACTAATGACTTCTATACAGCCTGGTAATTTCATGCACATCCTTTAACCTCATAGAATATACTGTCATTTCTTTTGGCTCCTTTAGCCTCTATTCTGTCTCTAAACCTCACAGGTTTCCAAGGCACTAGGTATGTACTAACAATTATCACAACCACCATAACCACCACCATAAAATACTATATAACACTTTATAGACTCCACCCCCCGCCAAAAAAAAACCTTTCATATGTATGAAAAGTTTTCATAGCTTTTTTTTTATGTAGTGAATTTGCTTTTGCTGATAATTAAACCTACTATGTTTAATAATTCCTCTCTTCTTTTTATGAAATATCCCAGTGGCTATTTCCCAGGTATTAGGAAAATCTTTACATCTGCCAAGAGAAGAAACTTATTTGCTCATACATGCTACAGTGTTGTCAATTCTGAGGTACATACTCTCATGCTTCAGTTACTTTCTCTTTCATCAGAAGTGAGACAGTAACTCTAATTGCTTGCTGAGCATCTAGAAGTACCATTAATAATGATGATGATAATAATAATGACCTCATAGGACGTATAATTTGGGGGATTAAAGAACATTTACAAGCTTATTGTGTCATAGTTAATGATGAAGTGCCAACTTTTCTTGCCACCACCCTTTCCAGTGGTATTTCCTGCTTGGATCAGAGAACTAATTTAGTAAACGGTATCCTTTTAAAGAATTTGCCCCATCCAAAAGCATATGCTAGCACAAAGATATTGAACTGTTTTAGTGTTGTTTTTTCAGAGACGATTGATTTATTAATGTTGTTTTGCATTTGTATAAAAATTGTATAATGTAATCATTTAGTGTTTATTTATTGTGTGTACCTTCTACTCAGAGGGTTGGCATTATTGTTCCTAACAGTGACGGATACAAGCAGATCATGCCTTATGACCTCTACCATCCCCTTCCTCGGTACGTAAATCAATCATCCTGATGTTAGAATTAGCAAATCAGTCTTCTGATGCTTTTATATATTTGTATATATAGACAATCTAGAGAGAGATTCTGTGTTTTTCTATAAAAAATAAGATGGTAGATGGTATATTTTGCAGTCCTTCCTGAGCTCTGCTTTTGAGTAACACTGGCCTCCTCAGACTGTAACCTTGTCATTCAAAACCCATTTTAAGATAGGATAAATCATATTACCTTGGAATGGGCACAGTAATTCACTCTGATTACCTACATCATGTGGGTTAATGTTATGCCTTTCTCTCACTTGCTTTGCCTTTACTATGTCTCCTCTGCAGTAGGACTCCAGTTATTAAAGCACTGTTGCTAACTATGAAAGAAACACTGCTGAAAATATTATCACCATACCACCAATATAGAATTAAAGATGTGGTATTTTTCTGCATA